TATTGTAACTAACTGAGTTTACTCTCTTTAAATAAAGAATTTATTATTATTATTATTATTATTATAGTTGTCTCATTGGCAATCATACCACATCTTCTTTTCAATATGTCGGTGTGGCATGTTTTGTTAGTTGTAGTAAAGCTTTACTTTTAGAACTACATGTATCAACATAATATCAATGGTTAGTAAAAAAGGCGAAATATTTCAGCGTGTGCACTCTTGTCTTCCCTTGATACCAGTAAATATTTTGCATCATAACACCAATTTTTATTTACATATAAGTCTTCAATAGCTCAAAAAAAGTATTTACTGAAATTTTAGCAGATCCTAGATTTCTTTTCTTTCGATTTCATTTTGAGACCCAAGTAATACCAATGCAAATATAAAGAAAAATTTTATGTTAGCTTTTTCTCACCATTTTTAAATAATTAAATATCTTGAAATGGAGCTCAATGACCAATCAAAGTTAAACTTATGTTGTTCCTAAACTAATTGTCTTCTGACTTATAGTAAAATGTTCATTTCTAGATTTTTTTAATTTCACTGTAGTATTCATCCTTTAGGTTGATTAGTTTATATATCATGTATACAAAAGTTTTTGACAGTAAAATATTAGTTATAGAAGATTCATAGACTTTAGTACTATATATTGTCAATACAGATACATGCAACTTAGATTAACCATCATTGCCAAGAGTATCAGGACATAGTTGGGTGAAACACATACCGAAGTAGGTGTAAGCTTAAAACCCAGTCCGCAATCATGTTCTGGAATCATAATACATGCATGTCTGTAAATATAATTAGTACTAAATATGAACATCATACAGTAATGACATAAATTTGCTTTATTGGGTTTTTTGGAATATTCTACATTTCATATGTGACATTTTGTTCACCATTTCAGTCAATAATTCAAGACCAATTTCAATGAATATCAGTGGCAGATCCAGAACTTTTCATAAGGGGAGGGGGGGCTGACTGACCTAAGGGGGGCCCGCTCCAGTCATGCTCCAGTGATTACCTATATAATCAACCACATTTTTCCCACTAAATTTTCCCTAGATCCGCCTATGAATATGAACACTTTTCTCACAAATTAAGTCCACATAAAAGGCATATTATGATTGATGTATATGCTAATTTTAAGTTATATTTAACAGTATAAAGGTTTTATTAACGGAGGGTCTCTTCCTATATGGCAGAAGGTATATACATTGTACATATCAGCTTCTGGAATGGGTCCCTTTTTTGATACATCAAATATATCAAAGGGGTAGCAAGGATTTGTATAGTACATGTAGGGTGGGTCTTTTCACCACCGAACACCACCACACACCACCAAACACCGCCGAACACCCAAAAAAACCATTAACCACTGAGAAAATCAGTGATTTTATACAATAAAACGGTAAAATCAATTAAATTACGTCTAATTTAACAATTTTTTAGATGTTTATATGCATCATTTTTCTGTTAAAATAGATTATCAATATAATCCATATAAAGAAAAACGTCTCCGGATTCATCACTTTTTTTCCGGATTACATTGTGCGTGTATAAGAATCATTCTAATGCAATTAGTTTGTATCAGTGGTTCTGATTGGATGTTAGTAAGCGTATAATTCTCTAACTCCTTGTCTGTAACTAAGGAAGCCGACATTTTGAATTGCGGAATGTATTGACATGCAATTTTTACAATGATAAGCAAAAAACTCACATGTTGCACCTAGAAATCTTCTTTTTATCAAATTTAATTACATTCTGAAGCGGCCAAGAAGCCAGAAAACGCCCGGTGTTTACGTTTGATGGCGGAAGCATACATATGACGTCACCTAGTTTAGGGGCCAAAGAAGATAACATCTTTTCGCGGAATTTTCTTTAATGAGAATTTTACACTGAGATAATGATTGAAATTGAATTATGTACTTGTTTTGCATTAGAATAGAGATAACTGTATAGTATTTGAAGCTTTGTGGACGTCCATCGGTAGTTTTACTGTCGCAAATACCCGTTTAACTGTCTCCGCTACGCGTCGCCAGGTAAACTAAATTTGCGACAGTAAAACTACCGATGGACGTCCGCAAAGCTTCAAATACAATACAGTTATCTCTTATTTTGACATCAATTACTGATGAAGGATATTAGTTTCCCGAAATATTTAACATTTGTTCATGTCTCTTTTCTTGTTATTGGTACAACTATTTTATAAAAGAAGAAAAAAAATAAAGAAAAAAAATTATTTGAGGTGTCCAGTGGTGCTTTGCAGAGTTGTAGTGTTATAGACTATCCTTTTCTGTTCGATATAGATATTTTATCTCTTAACCTTATTATTTGTTGAAATAATAACTTAAATATTATATTTAGGTCACATTTATAACAAAAAGAGTTAAAAAAGATAAATTTTTGGGGTGTTCGGCGGTGTGCGGTGGTGTTCGGTGGTGAAAAGACCTACCGGTACATGTACATGTACAAAATTAATGTATACAAATCCTTGGGGGTAGTAATTGACCACTGGTTTAAAAAAAGGCCTTAAATGGTTTTGAGGATATTTATATAATATTTCCATAGAGGTATACAATTATTTTGTGTATTACCATGCCTTGGCTCTGTATTATCTTCTGTTTCACTGCCTTCTCCCTGTGAATCGCTCTGCTCGTCTTCTCCCTCCGACATTGACAGGCTGGTGCTTTCATTTTCCAACACAGTGTGGACCATCACGTCAGCAACATGATCATCGGTCGACGGATCACTGATGTCACAAAAGTTAGGGTTTTTATCAGTGCTATCGTTAGCATCCTCGCTATCCGAATCATCAAAAAATAAGGCTGCAGCGTGCTGTTTACTTTCTAAATGTCTCTGTAGATGCTGCTCTCGGTTAGTTTTATAATTACAAGGCTTGCAGTTGTATAGCTTAGGCATTGTGTATGTTGAATAAAAAAAATGTTATAAAAAGCTAAGAGCGGACTAAAAATATACAATTTGGCAAAGGCAACTTGAAGTGTTTGTAAACATTACCAGACGACATTCTTCCGAAAGGTACAAAACAATGTTCCGAATGTACTCATGTTTACCGAATCGACCCTGTCGTTTATTTCGCCACAAACAAAAATGTAATATATATCCAACTATGTTAGTAAAATGTATTTTATTGTATATAATATGGTCGGGTTGTTGTCTCTTTGACACATAACCCATTTCCATTCTCAATTTTATTTAGCTTAAATTAAGCAATTAATACTCAATAAAGCTCTTAATAGTTCGCGCATTTCTTTGGGACGAATTAACCCTCAAGACAGGTGCGCAGTTACGTCATCTGACAGACGACAGCTGATTTTGACAGAACTTGGAAAAGGCAAAGAAGATGAGTGCGTATGAGGTAAGTACCTGTGTGAACAAAACTTAACAAGGAAAGTTCGCATCTACAATGCAAAAAAGAGAAAAACGTGTAATTTACAAACCTTGAGATGTGATTACGGTGATTACCGTATTCATGTGAGCAGCTCAGACAGCGTTTCTGCATCCCCACTTGATTTTTGTAACATATATCATATTGTGGATAGAAAACCAAAATTCGCTAATTAACAGAAATATGTGCCTATTTCAGTTTGTTTTTATCTTCAAATTTTTGCATATTGAAATTAGCATATTAAATAAAATCCACATCATTTGCCGATGACGTACGTTGTATCTGTAGTGTTATATATTTCTGTGTCATTTGGTCTCTTGTGCAGTTGTGGAGAGTTGTCTCTTTTGCAATCATACCACATCTTCTTTTTTATATTAACAATAACAAGTTTTTAATTTATGAATTTTACGTTTAAGTTGCACAGTGTTGGTCAATAAGTTTGGGTTTTCTCATGGATAGTGGGTTGAGACTGATGAGTTAACAATTTAAAATATATATATGGTTTTGGCACTATAATTCTATATATATATATTTTAATTGTTCTTAACATCTAATCAAGCTCAACCCACTACACATACTTGAATTTTTTTTTTCTCCAATTATTTTGTTTTTTCAAATTCAATTATTTTCAAAAGCTGACTTGTTACTCATGAAAATAAGATTTCTGTCATTTTAAGTCCCAGGAAATCGCAAGAATGAAGGATTTTGCACCATTTACCCACGACCCCTCGCCGAATGACTTCCTTCCTCGGCATTGAGTACACATCATTTTGCCCTAGCTACGCCCCTGGTTATAGGTAAGTTTGTGTGTATTGGTGTGTAATTCTTATACTGTATGCAATAGGTCATACTATATTTGGTGTATGGAATGATTGTAAGGCCAAACAAAAAAGTTTGTGTGTTTACTGTCACATGCTGAAAAAAAAACAGGGTAGGTAGGTAGGGATTTTTTTTTTTTACACATTGAGTCTAATGGAGCAACATTGTGACTTTAACAGTGCTTAATCAAAAATGGCCAAAAAAACTTTATTGTAGGTGATAAAAATTAGGGTAGGTAGGGGTACAGTAAACACATACTTTTTTTTGGCCTAAGGTGAACATGTCTAACTGGTAGGTATCATCTTGGCTTGACCTCATTTTCATGTTTCAGTAGTCAAAGTTAAGTTTTTGAGTTTTGGTCTGTTTTTCTCACACTATATGCAATAGGTCAACTATATTGATGTATGGAAATTTTTTATGATGTTCATGTCAGTCTCACCGGTTTTATTTGACAGTGACCTCATATTAACGGTTCTTTGCTTTATATTTAGGGCTATCATCATAATATCAATGATTGGTAAATTAATGAAGGCGAGACTATGATTTCTTGTGTAATGAATAGAACGTTTTCATTTTACTAACTTTTGACTCTGGGTTCTACAATTATTCAACAGGTTACCTAATCTGTGGTAGGTCATTTATGAGGAGATAAAAATATGAAAATATTTGATCAGTGCAATTTGGGGGGAAATTTACTATTTTATAATGATTTAGTCGAGTATAGAACAGCATTTAAACAGTTAACTTTCCCTAAAAATTGTAAATTGTCTGTTTCTGTTCAGTACAGATACATTTTGTACATGTATAAATGATAATTTAACCAAAACTATTTAGTCAATAACATTCATGTTATAAGTGTCAACAAATGAATGGTGTTTTTTTTTTGTCAGGACTCTCAAGAAGAGAGACAGGATGATTTGCCCTCTCAGTCTCAGGACTTATTTCCGGAGGAGGTCCAAAGTTCTGCATCACTAGATGACAACATTGGAAGGCAGATATGTAAGCATTTATATTGGCAGTTCATAAAATAAATAGTTGTTAATTGAGAAATTTTGTCATGATAAATACATACTATTACTAGTAAAACTTTTAATTAGTGATTCAGTTTAAAAAAATTTAAAAAAAAAATAAAGGTAAGACATTTTCAGTTCAGGTTTTTTAAAATATTATTTGAATAATTAGAAAGATGTTTTCAAGAGAGAAGCATATAAATACTTAACACTTTACTGATTAATAACCTGCATATATATTTAAATAGATAGTTTTTTTTTATTTACATCACAAATTTAAGTAAACCAAATGATCTTTTAATAACTTAATATTGCTTGCAATGTGCAGATTTTTCTCAGGAGTGGAATTGAGATGAAATATACATATTATAACCAAGCGCAAAATTTATAATAAATAACAATCTATATCTTCCTTAGTGGCTGAGTTGAAGAGTCTGCAGAATAGGATGGGCAAGATGGAAGAGAATATGACAGAAATGCAGAAGAAATTACTAAATGCAGAAAAGAAAGCTGCATTTAGTATTGATTCCTGTACATTTAAGGTAATATATACAAAGTATTATCAACAATCAAGTATTACAAATTTCTTTCGATGAATTATAATTGGAGTGTAAGATAATGTTTTCTTTAAATCATTTATTTGGAAAAATTAAATTGCAGAAGACAATGTACAGCAAAAACATTTAAGAAGTGCAAGTGTAACAAAAATTTGTTCTGGTGTGTCTATTGTTTGAACATGTCTTTTAATATAATTGATCACTCACTTTGTTTGTTTCAAATTAGGACAAATGTTCAACTTAAACTATACTTTTTTATGCCCCCGCCTTAGCCGAGGGGGCATTAAGTTTTACCCTTGTCCGTCTGTACGTACATCCGTTCGTACGTCCCAAAGTTGGTTTCCGTTCTCTAACTTTAGTTTGCCTCGACCAAATGTTATGAAACTTATACACAATGCTTATTACCATTAAATACAGATCAAGTTTGAATTTTGATGCCCAAAAAGGCGCAAGCCAGGGCCGACCGTGCAAGGGCTGTATAGCCAGTCAAGGTCGTTAAAAACTTCCATTTGTTGTTGTTGGTGGCATCACTTTTACCATTCTAGAGTTCTGGCCCTTTACAAATGGAAAAACTGCTAAATTTTTCGTTTCCGTTCTCGAACTTAACTTTGCCTCTACCAAATGTTATGAAACTTATACACAATGCTTATTACCACAATATACAGATCAAGTTTGAATTTTGGTGCCGTCACTTTTACCATTCTTGAGTTATTTCCCTTTATAAACATAAAATATGCTGAATTTTTTGTTTCCGTTCTCTAACTTTAGTTTGTCTCAACCAAATGTTATAAAACATATACACAACTGTTCTAGAGTTATGCGTGTTTACAAATAGAAAAATTGCTGAATTTTCAGTTTCTGTTCTCTACTTAATTTAGCCTCAACCAAATGTTATGAGACTTACACACAATGCTTATTACCACAAAACTCAGATCAAGTTCAAATTTGGGTAGCGTCACTTTTACCGTTCTTCAGTTATGTCCCTTTATAACTATATGATATGCAAGCAGGGGCATCATCTGTGTCCACATGTGGACACAATCCACATTTATTTCTAAATAATTATTCTCCTTCTACTGTTTCCTGGCTCATAAATAAAGTGTCATTTTGGTATTTTTTGTGGAGTACACATGTATGTATAAATTAAACAATTGCTATACTCCACAGGATCCAAATTGAATGTTTAAGTTTTCTATTTATTACATTATTGATATAATTAATACATGTTTTTATAATGTACTTGAATGATAACTTTAAACTCACTGATGACAAATTAAATGCTCAGTATGTAAAATAACTGGTTTAACCAGTAGAACATATTTCACAGACAGGAACTTATTTCACCAGGTAAGGAACATATCTCACAAACCTGGAACTTATTTCACTATGTAAGGAACAATTTTTACCATCCAGAACTTATTTCACCAGGTAAAGTGTGGACCATATTTTAAGAGATGGAACAAATTATACAGAAATTATCTGTAAAAAAAGATCTCCCAGAAAATATTTCCCGTGACATTAGTTCCACTGGAACTACTTTCACAGGAACAAATTTTGGCTTACATAAGAACATACTTTTATTGTAACCTTCTATTAAAAGAGGTTGATTTGAAATATCTCATAATTTCAACGTGTTTATGTACAATTTCGATATGGAAATTTAAACTTGTGATTATGTGATTAATAAAGCCAGCAAAGAGAATAAAGTTCCAATGTTCACTTTTATCATCTGAAAACAATTGATTAATTATTTTGTAGAAAAAACTTTGCAGCTACTTGAAAGACAGATTTACTTCTAATCCATGGCTGGAGCCAACTTCTGATGTAGAATTTAAGGTTAGTGCTCTTATATTGTAAAAGGTAATTTGAAGGGGAAAAAAGAGGCAGTTAATTTTTTGAATTACTAAATTGTTTTGTAAACAAGAATTATCAAAGGACTTTTATGTAAAGTTTGTGAGTACTAAAGAGAATCAGTTTACACACAAAAGTCACAATGGCATAACCCTTAAATTGATTAAACCTTATAATTCTTAAGCGAAAGATTTGCAATTTTTTTAATTTTTAGTTAAATTACAATACTCGCTAGAAGAACTCAATTTGCGACAGTAAAATTTGCATTCTAATTCAATTATTTTGTATCAATGGCTCTGATTGGATGACGACAAGCGTAAAATTCTCTATCTCCCTGTCTGTAACTAAGGAAGCCGACATTTTGAATTCCGGAATATATTGACATATAATTTCTGCAATAATATAAGCAAATAAACTCACATTTGGACCTACAAATCTTCTTTTCAGCAAATTTTATTACATTTTGAAGCGGACAAGAAGCCAGAAAATACCCGGTGTTTACGTTTGATGCTGAAAGGGTTACACTAATGTTCTGACAATGTCCTGACAAAGTCCTGACCGATATGAAAATGCTAAATACTTTTTTGTTATTGAAAGGATTGACTTTAAATTTTGAACCAAGCAAGATGACAACATTTCTGAAATAAATACAAGAAAAAATTTTTAAAAATATATTTGTAAGAGTTAGAAAACTTGACCTGACCAACTTAGACATTGTCCTGACGACAATATAACTAAACTTTCAGGAAAATAGTACAAATTTGAAAAAAGGAAGGTTAGTTATCACGCACCTGCTTATGTTAATTACTGTGTCTTTGATATTACAAGAACCTCTAAACGGCACTAAATGTGGTCCTACAATAGTTTTAACAAACATTTATAAATAATTTAAACATATTACGATATGTGCAAGCGTTCGTTATTTAGATATATGAATAACGTTCTTTTTTTATTTTGAAAGCAATTTGGCGTATGCAGCAAAAGAGTATTCAAAGCATAGACATAAGTCAACAACAGTCAAAATTGGTCAGGTCAAGTTTTTTCTAACTCTTAAAAATATTTTTTTTAATTTTTTTCTTGTATTTATTTCAGAAATGTTGTCATCTTGCTTGGTTCCAAATTTTAAGTCAATCCTTTCAATAATAAAAAAGTATTTAGCATTTTCATTATCTGTCAGGATAATGTCGAAGTTGGTCAGGTCAAGTTTTCTAACTCTTTATTTAAGATATGTTGTCATCTTACTTGGTTCCAATTTTGAAATCAATCCTTTTAATAATAAACAAGTATTTAACATTTTCATATCGGTCAGGACAATCGTCAGGACATTGTCAGGACATAGTGAAACCCATGCCGGAAGCACACCTATGACGTCACCTAGTTTAGGCGCAAAAAAAGATAACATCATTTCGCAGAATTTTCGTTTAATGAAAATTTTACACTGAAATAATGACTTAAATTGAATGAATTGTTTAATTTGCATTAGAATACAGATAACTATTGTATTTGACGCTTTGCGGACGTCCATCGGTAGTTTTACTGTCGCAAATACCCGTTTACCTGTCTCTGCTACTCGTCGCCAGTAAACTAAATTTGCAACAGTAAAACTACCGATGGACGTCCGCAAAGCGTCAAATACAATACAGTTATCTCCAAATTTTTCAAAAGGCCAAGCTAAAAATACAATACAGTTATCTAATTGAATGGAATGAAGTGTACAAGTAATGAAATAATATTCAGCAGGAGACTTTTCAATCATATGATATGTCATGTTAAATTCCAATTTCAAACATTTTACAATCTTTATCGAATGCATTATTATACAATTATTGACTTTTGATGAGGTTGATACATTATGATTTATCAACCCCATATATATATGATATTAACCAAGGACAACAGCAAAGTGTCATTGTATCAACAATCAAAAGTTAATAATTGTCTTATTATATAACTTTTTATCCTTCTCCAAATTTCTAGTTTTTGCTCAAGATACTTATAAAACTGCTTCCTGTTTAAAAAAAATAAAATATATCATAATGCAGTTGCTAAGTTAAAATATTTAAATAAAGAAAACTATACAACAATTTCACACAAAAAAAGAAGAAAAGATAAATATACACCAAAAACCAAAAGGAAAAGAAAAAAACATGAATTTTCTTGACGTCCTGAACATACGTCATTGTCTCTGCCTTGGAATATTTATATTTAGATACAGGGACGCTGTTCCAACTCTTGTATTAACCTCTTGGACTTTTTTGCGCGGTAAATATGACTTTTTATCAATGAGAATTTCCTATGCTTTTAGCCAATGAGAAAACAGAAAATTTTTAGTCATATAATAATTCTTTTTGTCTTGCCTTAAAAGAAGAAATAACAGTTATGTTATGGTTTTGATTTTTAATCTCAATTTGCTGAAAATTCCTAGATCTCATGCATGAACAGATCACACTGTAGAATATGAAATTAGTTTAGGCAAAATGGTTTACCAAAGTATAAAGCAAAGCAAAATATGCTAACAGACCAATCTGGTTCAATGATTAATAGATATATATGTATATCATATAAGAATGATCATAAATTGGTGCTGTAACTTTTATATTATACAAATATATAGCCCTCTTGTTATCCTGTGACAATGTTGAGTAAACATATGATTTAAATTGTTCACATCATAGCCATCATTTCCAATCAGATTCCTTTTTGCAGTTTAAAAATACTAAAGGTTCACATGGAAAATAAATTATGAGCCTTTCCATGAGCTAGCCACTTACAGAACTCTGATTCCGGAATAAATTTTATATCCCTCCTTTTCAATGTAATTTCATTGTTTACTTATCTTATGTAAACCAGTCTAATATAGTTTAAAATTTCTTTTTTAACAGAATGAAGTTAAACAGGTAGTGTCATTTGCCAGTTCAAAGTATGCAGATTTAAGAAATCAGCTACGTAGAAAGGTAAACTGAATTAATTATTCTGTTATAACTATTAAAGGAAAGTAGAATAATTATATTACCAAAATGCCCAAAGCAGTGGCGGATCCAGAAATCTTCATAAGAGGGGGCCCGCTTCGGTCATGCTTCAGTGATTCCCTATATAATCAAACATTTTTCCCAGAAAAAGGGGGGGGGGGGGCCTGGGCCCCCTGGGCCCCCTCTAAATCCGCCTCTGCGAAGAAGTCTGTTACAATTCATCGACAAAGTAATTGGGCAATGTACAATGTTTTTTATATATAAAAATAAGGCAATGTGGTATGGATTCATTGTCAATGAGGCAACTTTTCAATCAAAGTTGAAATAAATTGGAATTAAGCAGTAAGGCAACTGCATTTACAGACTTCAACAATGAGAACAACCCATACTGTATTGATGGCTATAAAAGGCTCAATACAACCTGAAAGATATGAAATAATTCAATTGAGAAAACTAATGACCTAAAAAAAAACATTTAAATCAACCCTACCCTAACTTGTGTCAGTGATGTTACAGTATAGCATATGAACAAAACATAAAAGTAAGTGAAAAAGGGCTGAAACTTATCAGATTGATACAAAGCAGAAAAACATGTAACACAAAAGCACCGACCAGATATGGCAGGGAATTTACACATCCATCAAAATAAAATATGACACACAGCTACAGTTCCAATAGTATACTCGCAGTAACTTAATTACAGCTAGTTCAAAACCATTAATTAAGAAAGTAATATAAACAAATCATGTATCTAATGTAAAAATTAGAAGATGTGGTATAATTTGTTGTTAATGAGACAATTCTCCATAGGAGACCAAAATGACAACAAATATAGGTCAGCCTTTGACAATGAGCAAAACCATAAGGCTGATATACACAGCTTCTTTTGCATAGGTACTATTTCTGTACTGAAAATCTGTAGTACTGGAAATTTACTTTTAATATTTAGTACTATTTCTTTACTTTAAAGTTGTTGTAATATTTAGGTACCTTTATGTCACAGTACTTGATTTGTACTACAAGTTTTAATACTACAAATTTTTGGTACAGAAATAATACCAACAGTGATCACAATATTCCATGTTTGAAAATTTTAAGAGATTTGAAATAGACAAACTTTCAAAATGCTAAAACAGTATAACCTAAAATCTGTAGTACCTCAATTTCAAGTACAAATCAAGTACTGTAAAATACAGGTACCTAAATATTACAATAATTTAAAAGTAACAAAATAGTACTTAATATTAAAATTAGATTTCCTGTACTACAGATTTTTGGTACAGAATAAGTACCTTAGCAAAAGTAGCTGTGTATATATCAGTAAATTGTAATCATGGTAATGATAAATTATATACCAACTTTTAAAAAAAAAAATTATAAAAATCTGAAATCATAACCCCTGTTAGTTTCAGGTACTGTATATCTGCTATGGATGACACAAGGTGATAAAAATGAATGTTGAAGAATTGAAAGATTTGTGTGCATTGTTTAAATCATTATTAAGTCTTCAATTCAAATAAGTCTTATATCTTTTATTCTTTACACAATTTAATTTATATATAAATATGTACATTTTAGATTTTCCAAGAGTTGACAGAGGGGAAGAATGACCTCCAAAGCCTGCAGATAGATGATTTTGCAAAAGTCATCCTAAGCAGTTTCTGCAGTGCTTTGGAGAGTTATGATTCCCAAGAGAGAATTAAACTCTGTTTGGTACTTGTAAGTATATTTATAATGTATTTTAAATTTACATACACCAATATGATCCTTCACATATTGAGCTGATTTTTATTATGATCAGTTACAGATTGAGTTTTGTTTGGTTCTGCTCCGCTGTAGCCTGAATTACCGGTTTTGGATTTGAATAAATTCTTAAAAATAGCAGTTATAGGGACTTTTTTAAAACACTTTCACTTATTTAGCTGATGTTGAGTATGTGAGTCTACCATGATGAGTTAATAACAGGTTGAAATTATGTTTGGTTCTGCTCCATTGATATTTGTTGAAATTACAGGCTTCGTTTGGACTAAAAATTTCATGAAAGTAGTAGTTATACAGACTTTTTTTTCTTAACACTTTTACATATTGAGCTGATGTTATGTATGTGAGTCTATTATGATGAGTTACAGATTGAGTTTATGTTTGGTTATGATCTGCTAATTTTCATTGAAACAACTGGTTTTATACTTTGAACGATTTAACATTTTTTGTGGAACTTATAATTTTTTTCTAAACAACTTCACATATTGATCTGATTTTTAGTATGTGTACCAGTCTTCTTAGATGAGTTACAGATCAAGTTTACATTTGGTTCTGATCCATTGATTTATGCTGAAAATTGGACAAAATTTCATAAAAATGACCGTTATTCAGAATTTTTTCTCAAATTTTACTCCTATAAACACATTAAGTTTTCTCTTAGAATTTATAATTCTTCTAACATCTATAAAAAAGATTGTGACAAAAAGCTAGCTTGGTCAATGTACTTAATCTCAGTAAGACCTGAAAGGTTAACCTAATTTGATTTGAATTCCATATTGATTAAATTAATGAAATAAATATATTATATCTAATCGTTTAATGCGTTTTTAAACACTTTCTTTAGGTATAACAATCTACCTTATTCTTGATACACATCATACTTTGAAAGTTGTGCTGAACTCATGTGTCATGGCTGTGTTTTTAAGTTTAAACATTCAGAATAAATGAAATTTTGCTTAATTATTTTCAATGTGAAAAAAAAATGACAAATGACATTAATCAATTCTGTAATGTGGTGACTGGTTTGAAAATGTATTTTGTAAAATACATTAAATCATTGTTATTTGGAAAAGCTGTGATTTAGATTATATGACTGATTTTAAAAAATATTTAATATAATAAAACTTTATATTCAGAGATCATTCCTGCATAAGAGGGGACTCTTTGCAACAAAGCAGTCAATTCCAGATTTCTGGGATAAATTTAAGAACTACTTCATGGAAACCACCAAGGGGGCTAATGACGAGAAGTGGGAGAAATTGGCAGGAATTGATTCTCGTCGAATTATTAAGAGATTGGAAGTTTTGGGTAAGAATAGCTAAGTTATTAAACAAAATATGAAGGAGTATATGTACGTACAGTAACTATGTTATTCATACCTAAATTGTTGTGTTAAAATGCACATTTAAAGACCCCTTTCAACTGCTATATCGCTATAAACATGCTAAAGCATCAAGTTACCTCATGAAATCTTAAATTTTAGATTAATAAGGAGTTGTGATTTGATTGGGTATGGGACAATTATCTTAAACAAAGAGTGTCCATGTGAAGTAGATTTTAGCAATAAAAGGTCCCTTTACAACCTTCAACAATGAGCACAACTCATAATGTATAGTAAGCTATAAAATGCTATAAAAGGCTAGGACATGTAAAAACTTGAAAATTTAAATGAATACATCAATGGTCTAGTTATGAAAAAACTGTCAATGATAAACAGATATTGCAACCAGCAACCAACTACAACCAAAAAAGTATAGACTCATAAATAGTCGGTCAACCACAAATACCAATTAACATGACCAATTTGAATCTCAGTTACACACTTTTCACACATGTTGTTTCCCTTTGTCAATTGAAAACTCAGGTTCTTACTGGATAAAAAAGATTATAAGTGATATATATGGTAACAGGAATGTTGAAGAATTTTTGAGAAAAAAATATTATTAATACATAATGATTTTAGCTTAACAAAAGGAATAAATGGAATGAAAAGATTTTGAAAAACTTTGTTTTCTCAGACTAGAGTATCAATCCATCCACATTCAACAGAGTGAATACTTCCAATAAATCGTCAGAGAAAAGCATGACTGTTAAATCATCATACAACAACAAAAAAGTCATGATGATAAAAATTGGGATATAATATCCCCTTTTGTATAAGAATTGAACAAGCAATTTGAAGCAAACCCATTAAACTTTCAACCAAAGCAATAAAGAGAAAACTAGCGGATGAATGTGTATAGAAACTTAAAAAAACTGTTCAGTTAGTAATCATGAGCAAAATGTTTCTTAAAATTTGATTTCCTGTTGACCATCACTGTTTCTAAAGCTTTCATTTATTCTAAATACTCAAGTTTTCTTTTTTTATTCCAGGAAATTAAAGGATTACAGTCGATCTGCACGGAGATTATGGACTTATTATAAACTGTTTCATCTATTTAATTATTCGTCATTTATTTATAATTCATATTACTGTTACAGTCATTAATTTATACATTTCTATATCATTTGTATTAATCATGTTTATAATTTTTAAAGAAATTAAATTATATATATTTTAAGATTTCAGACTTTCTTTTCCTTTAAGTTACCATGCATGTAATTTTAAGTCATAAAAAACATACACTTTCTGGATAATTATCTGTACAAAGGAACATTCAACTTCATTTTATATATATATAACTAATTAGTCAACTATTTATACTTTATGCAAGTATTTCTGTTACCAACTAAAAGATTGAATTAATTTTTTTTAGGGTTTGAGGACAGTCAGGTTTTTATTAGAATTGCCACTGGCAAGAATGGAAATGCAATTTTGAGATACACAGAAAATTGAGATATTGTGGTGTTGACTTTTGATATAAAAAAAGGGCTATCAACATGTATGCTTTGATATATTTTAGTATGTTGTAAAATCCCCTAAAAGCAGATATATTCATGGTATGTGTTTGGTATGAATGTACCAATGAGATGAAGTAAAGATAAAACAACACATGGATAACTTAAACAAACTATTACTTAAAAAAAAAACACATATTCATTTTTTATATAGGCTGAATTATGAAAAAAATAAAAATTATTGCATCTTCAGCATAATATGAGTACAAGCAATGCATAATAATAAAAGACGTTATACGTCCGTGGTACAAAAAATCCGTATTACGGACGTGGTACTAAAAATCCGTATTACGGACGTAGCAATATAAAATCCGTATTACGTCCGTATAGAGGATGTTTTACGGGTCGACACGGACGTATTACGGATTAGAAGCAACGGACGTTTTACGTCCGTGGTACTATTCGTCCGTAGATCTTCCGTATAATACGGACGTATTACGGATTTTTTACGGACGTATTACGTCCGTAGCTATTTTACCTGTGTATTACATGAAACTTTCAGCACGAGTCCTTGTTATTGACGTTCCTTTAAGGAAAATCATTATAAACGTTAAGTGTGTATATAACAAATACCTAATACAAGACTGAAGATCGACATTTACTGTCCAAACGTCGATCTGGTGCAATGAAATTGGTACCGTTGATCCTAAATCCTAAATTTGACCACCATCTCTTTGCATAAGAGGCAAACTCCAATGTCTTATTTTCGTCTTCGTACGGACACATGTACGATTTTGGACTTGCATTGTGTCACCTTGATACCACATACACTGTTCTGTGCCATCAATAAAAATAGATGCAGCTGATCGATCTTTTGATTGATATGTTTGAGTTTCATAGGGGTCACATAAGTGTGAGTCAGTACTCTACAAAAATAAGTTATTGTCTTATAATATATAGGATTAAAGGTTACCGATAATATACGCATGTACTGATGAATTCGAGAATAGTTATACATTCCTTTTATAAATAATAAGATGAAAAAAATTATGTTAATATATTATTATTATGTCGTAGAGAATTTAAGGAAAACATTGTCTTTGAAATTATATGTATCACAGTTACCAGTTCAATTACTAGTAGCTGTTTTTGGCTTTCAGCTAGCTTTCATGAACTGCGAGTACTCTCACATCTGTACTTAGTATCTTTTGTGGTTGTGTTAGTTGTTTATGTACTTTGTATCGTTCTAAAGAGTTAAGCCATTTTTAACTTATTCATATAGTTATTCTTATGTTGTGCTGTTACACCACAGTTCCTGGTCAGGGGAAGTGTTGGGGGCCTCAAGCATGTTTAAACCCGCCACAATCTGTATGCGCCTGTCCCACATCAGAAACCTGTAGTTAAACGGTTGTCGTATTGTGCAGTATATCATATTTGTTTTCGTTAACTGTTTTATTCATTAATCAGGTCTTTAGATTACTCGTTTAAATTGTTTTACATATTTTTTTTTCATTTTGTTGTCTTTTATAGCTTTCTATGCGGTATGGGGGCAATACAGTTTAATTTTTTTTGTAGGAAGACAATCCTGAAATAGTGTCTTTTACGTTTATCAACTTTGCCAAATGTACAATTTTATATGATGTATAATTACATTTGCAAAACAAAAACAAAAACCATCAGAACAATTGCCCTGTTTGTTATCTCTTTTTGAAAAAGGAATGTATGAGGAGAACAAAAATAATGAAAGAAAAATAAATCAAAATTGTATAGCATATCTTATTTGTTTTCGGTTGGATTCGTATTGCTCAGTCTTTATTTTTCTATGTTGTGTTTTGTTTACTTCTGTTTGTCTTATCGTCGTTTTTTGTTATTTTGCCATGGGATTGTCAGTTTCGTGTTCGACTTATGAGTTTAACTATCCCTCTGGTATCTACCGCACCTCTTTTTAGGTCTATTTCTTTTTTTTTTGTAATTTCTTTTTTTTCTTCATGAATTTACAGGTATCAACATATATTTATCTTGTGGTACAATAATCAAGCAAGTGAAATAAATAAGCATGATAAGCAATCTATGGACTAACACTATGAAATCTATGGATGAAGTATAGTAATAACATTTTCATTAATATAGTAATAATAGTAATAGTAGAGCAAGAAATATATGAGCATGTATATGGTATAACAGTATACGAGTTCTTTCAAATACTCATATATATACACATATGTATATACATTAACCTAATTTAAATTTAATTAATGATCTTAGCCCAGGGGTTCCAGAACAAGTTGTGTTCTTCCATACTTAAATATTTTGAAGAAATATGTTTCTCTAAAATCAAGTTTTCTTTTATGTAATTTTGAAGACCTTTAATATGAGGTTTTATATCTTGCATCTTACATCTGTAAATGAAATACTTTGTCAGTGAGATAACTTTATTTTTAATAAAATTCAATTTATAATTTTCATAGAGGCCAAAAATGACAATATTCAAATTTAGTGGAATTTCTATATGAACTATATCGAAAATCCAAGAATTTAGATTGTGCCAAATGTCGGCTACAATATGACAACCCCAAAGTAAATGTTCTATAGTTTCAGGCTCTTCCTTGCAAAATGTACACAAATTACAGTTAACAAGTTTCATTTTAAAGAGTAGAGCATTAGTCCCTAAGATATAATGAATAATTCTATATTGAAACCAACATAACCTTGTGTTTTTTGAAACCTTGGTAACACACAAGTGTATTTTTTTCCAATTTTCTATAACTTTATTAAGAATACCTTTCCATTTTTTTTCTGCTACAAAATCTATCGGTAAAGTTCCTTGATTTAAAATAGTATACATGTCCTTTGAGCCCTTTTCGGACTTAAAGAAAATATTAATGTTAAAAGGTATAATAGCCTGATGTTTTTTCTCTCTTTCGGTGTTAATTCCAATGGCTTGTAGCCATTTTTTTAGTGCTAATATAACCCATAAAACTGTAGAAACATGGGTTTGAAATTATACATAATTTCAAAATTTTCATATGTTAATATATTTCCATGTTCATCTAACAGGTCATTTACAGTCCATACCCCATGATGTGACCAATTTTTTTAGTAAACGCTGACGTTATCAATTTTAATATGTTCGTTATGCCATATAGATGTCGAAATGACTTCCTCAAAATGAAATGGATGTCTGAGTTTGGGTGGAGGTAAATAATTGGATCCATTTGGATTTTGACTTAAATAATCTTCTAACCCAAGTAAGTTTTAACCCTTGTATAAAATGTCTCAAATTAATCATTTTTAGGCCCCCTCTAAAGTATTCTTGGCATAGAAGATCCCGCTTTATCTTGTCAGGCTCATCATCCCAAATGAATGAATAAATTTTACTATTAAGTTGACGTATCATATTATCATCTGGACCTGGGATGGACAGGAACAGATGATTTAATTTTGATATAATTAGTGACTTTATAATTGTTATTTTACCAAACGGGGTAAGTGACTGTTTTGACCATTTTTGTAATATTTTTTCTACATATTTTGTCTTGACTAAGTCTTTTACTACCTATCCATATAACGTTTGTTTTGTCTAAATTAATTTTCAGTCCTGATATCTCAGCATAGAATTGTAATATACGAAGAGATGCATCCAGTGAGGAAGGCGACCCATCTAAAATAAGTGATGTGTCGTCTGCATATTGAGACAAGATATACTCTGAATCATCTATCGTAATACCCTTTATCTCATCACTACTTCTTACTAAAATGCCTAATATTTCAGCACATAGCAAGAAAAGGTAAGGAGACAAAGTATCCCCCTGTCTACAGCCTCTCTCCACACGGAAAAAGTCTGACAGACAGCAGTTCTGGGTGACAGTAGATGTAATATCATTATAAAATGTTTTTATCCAGTTCATAATAGAGTCTCCAAAATTAAAATACTTCAGTGTTTCAAAGAGAAAGGCCCATGATATAGAGTCAAAGGACTTCTCAAAATCAATGAGTAATAATATACCAGGGATATCATTTTCTTCTGTAAAGTGTAAAATATCATATATAAGTCTACAGTTCTCCCCAATAAATCTACCCGGGATAAAGCCTGTTTGATCAGAGTCAATAATTCTGTTTAGAACTGACTTTATCCTCTCAGCTATACAACTAGAAGCTAGTTTGTATGTTGAATTCAAAAGTGTAATTGGACGCCAATTTTTTAAGAACTGTTTTGACATGCCTTCTTTTGGAATACATATGGAATACAACTCCCTGCCTCTG